TGTACAATAACATTGGGTACAACAATCACAGGAATATTTTTAAAACCTATTACTCCACTCAAAACACTATAAAACATCTTTAAAAACATCTTCAATAATGAAGAATTCCAAAGACTAGAGTCCAAGCAAATGACCAATATTTTCTCCTTCGCCTATTGTATAAGATTTTATAATAAGATATAAGAATATATGCAAAGATCTCTTCAGCATGCAAAATGGAAAGATCCAGACAAATCTTTAGATCTTTTTGGTCAATGTTGTTTTTTATTTTTTTCTAAAATTATTAGGTTCCATTTTTCCATCCTGACAAAACAGGTTTTTTCAAAGACTGATATTCATCCAACAATGCAAAGAATGTACAGTATTTAACCTAATTCATATATCTAGAATACTCTCACAGTGTGTAAGCAGAAAAAAAACACAGGTGTTTTCTGTTCATAGATCTTAATCATTCCGAGTTCAGTACATAAGTCCAGTTACAAATAAGAAGAAGCTATTTAGCCCATTTCGGTCTTTTAAAAGTAGACTTTTTATTGCTTTCATAAACACACTGTATGGTTCAAGTACAGTGACAAATAGACTTAAAAGACAGCCCCTTAGTCTGCACAGAGGTACCATATACTGTAAGGTTACTTATTATTCTACTATGTTTTTAAACGTTTACCTCCTACTATTCATCACATAGTATAATAGAGATTACAAACAGGATTAATTTTTTAGGATTTTGATGAATTACAAGAGTTGTACATAATTGTTCAAATTCTAATTGTTCAAATTATCTTCTTGATTCAAAACCCTGATGATCAACCTGAGTATTTATATATCATGGAGTCTGAATGTCAGCAGCACTTGCACATAAATTAAACAAACGTATTTGTCTCCTTAAGCCAGTCCTTGGTGGAACCAGTTTTGGCAGCCATATCTACTGCCTTCCACTATAGATACAGTAGGTGTTTCCCAGCTTTGCACATTGCGATGTGCCCATTCTTCCTGGCACAATTGTTCCAATTCTAATAGATTAATTAGGGATAATTGATTAACTCCAATTATCAATGCCTTGTCATAAGTTTACTATTGGAAATTATGACTTTGACTCTCACTCTCATTTTTTAAACCAATGTGGCTTTATGTGGCTTTCAGACTTGAGCTTCAGTTCATTGTCCTCCTAAAATATGAATTATGGAGGACAGTGTGTTTTGAGATGTTAGATTTCTAGGAAGGAAAACTCAGGCAGGTTTTCCTCTAGGATTAGCCTGTTTCTTGCACCATCCATTTTTCCAACAGAGTGCGTCTGAGATGCAGGCTGGCCAGATGTGAAATCGAGGTTTCCGCAGCTATAGTGTGTTTGAGATGCAGGATGATGAGACGCAATTGAGAAGCTATGTTATAGCTCTGGGTTTTATGCTTTTAAAAAGAAATGGAAATAGTGAGAGAGAGTGAAAGATTTGGAACTTGTGTTGTGAGTTAGTGTGAGAAAACAAAAACTGTGAGGTACAGTATATAATGTGAAAAGTCAAGAGAAATAATTGAATAGTGAGCGGGTGAGAGACGGAGATCTTGTACAAACAGACCCCCAAAGAGCTCACCCAATGAGGTGGAGCATGTATGTATTACACAAAACAAAGCCCTTTACTCTTATTTCAGCTCTAACTACACATCTGCAGTAATAGTCACTAGCTCTACAAAGCTAGGCAGCCAAACTCTGTACCTCCATCAACCAAAAGTCTCCCTTTCGCTCCAGCTTTCTAAATCAAAACTCTCAGAATCCACAATTAAACTTCACAAGCTCGTCCTTTGCTCACTTGCTTTCTCTGTTCCTTCTCCCACTGGCACTATGCACTACAGCGTATCTGCCATTGAAAGTAGCATCTGAAGTGCTTCCATTTTCGAGATACAGCACCTTAGTTTTCCGGGGAGTCACAAGACTCTTGGCACTTTTGTAGGGAAACTGAGTAACATCACACCCCAAAAGAAGAAGGCACTATATCTCGGGAACAAAATCAGCACAAATGGAGCACAAACAAAAAGGGGAAGGCTTCACTGTTTGTGGTGTTTCTAGGGGGATTTCAGAAGAGAGAGCACCATGAGCGAAACACCTCATTTAATAAACAAAGAAACCAGATTTATTCCAAGTCATTTAAACACTGAAAGACTATTGTACTCTTAAACAAAGGCACTTGTTCTCTTATATTGTCTGAAATGCCAATATTCTAAGTGTGAAATCCACAGACTAAAACACATCTTTCATTATTTAGGGATGCTTTGTTTGGAATAGGATTAATTGGCTCCCCTTCATTTACCATCTGTTTTTAAAGAGTGATTTAATCCTGGACAGGATCCATACAGTATTTAATAAAACACAGGTGCACTCTTTTCCCTTCCACCATGATTTGTGTCTTGACTTCAGGTAGAATTCGGTATTTTAAATGTACTGTATGTAAAAGGCAGACCTATGGCAACCACTGTAACTGTATTCTGAATACTGCATCTGTAAATAATAAATGAGAAACATTGTACAGTATGTGGTGTAATTGTATTTTTTGTAACAGATATCTGTTGTATGAAATATGTTGCCTAGTTATTATTATATTACTAAACTGTGCCAGAGAAGCCAAGAACATGCTGTGTAACATTCAGTATATTCTGACAATAGGGGGTATAATTATTGCTAATTTTTATAATTTGCTTACATAGCAATCTGGTCTCAGGGTTTGATTTTTATATGCATTTTTACTCTTCATTTTATAATGTTAACACCTCCCTATTCATACACAAGTATACCTTCTTGTATTATGCTCAGATTAAGATCCGGCTCTTTGTGTTTTGTATTTCATTTCAGTATTTATTTAGTGTTATTCTTGGTTAAGGAATCTTTATACTAAATGAAGAATAAAATAGATAGTGTGAACTGTGTGGTTTCTTAACAGTGCAGATTCTGTCCAGTACAAGTGCTACGGTTTTTCAGCCAGCGCATGGGATCCAATTCTGGACTACTGTCACACTCCCACCTAACTCATCAACATCACATTTACACATTAATGGTGTGTGCTGCCCCTACACAAGGCATACAGTAAGTAGTATTAAGTCTAGGGTCAAGTGCAGCCTAATCTTTAAGTAAGAAAAATCACATCTAATGTAAGAATAGCATGGGTACTAAAGGTGAAAATTAACATGACTAGAGAAATCCTAGGAGACTACCTCACAAATCAGGGAAGCAAAACAATGCAAAGAAATTTTATTTCCTTTCAACCTTAGACTTCAAAAAATAAGTGTAAAACCACATTCACTTTTTAAAATGACAGTGTTCAGATCCATGACATCTGAATTGGTTGAAATAAGAAAAGCAGCTGTGGTTAAATATCGTTCATTTCTCACCTGGAACACAGTGACTATAGCCCAAAGAAGAGAGTCAAAGTTCTTGCGGTCTGGAAGGGTGTCGCCATCTTTCTCTGAACCAAATTTACAGCCAAACAGGTGCATTCCCAGAATACTGTGTGGAGAGAATGAAACACTCCAGGAGACTTTGAATGACAAAGACACATGGTGTTTTTAGGCACAGAGGATAATTTCAACACAAAATTACATTTGATCTTAAGATTTGTAAAAGGTTGTGTCCACGTATCTTCACTTTCTTAGGCTGCATATCTCAAATTTTCAGAACAAAGAGTCCAGTGCATGTTTCACTTGTAGTCATTGTGGTCTCTATTTTAAAATGAGGCTTTATAAGCTGAAAGCCGTATCATAGTGGCAGCTACACATAAAAAGTAGATGAAAAGAGCCCCAGTCTACTTGGTCTGAAACCTCTTGGGATGAAAAATAATTTATTAAGACAAGGTACTGTAATATTATTAATACAATATAATCTATCAGCCCTAATATGACAACGTTGCATCAAAGACATGTATAAATGATTATAACTAAGACCATATGGACCTGAGGAATTTTGCAAAGAGCAGGTGGCCAGTCTTGCTCATTTAGGTAAATGAGTGAACCTTACTGTATATCTAATTGAGCTGTTTCTTCAAGGACCCCTCAACCATCTGGCTGGAAAGCATTTTTCATACACAACTCTTCCTACTGACTGTGAAATAGTTCCAATGTATGACCCTATCTAATCCCTTTAGAATCTTATATATACAGTATGGATAAAATACAGTTGAATCAAATCTTCTTTCAGTATATTTCAGAATATGAGAATGCTCTGTGGCATTTTATGGCATTGTGATCAAAATATTACATATTCTTCCATTTTAAATATTACATAAGTATTCACTCCATTGAATATTTTTGCCATCTTTGCAAAGTTGATTAACCTTTGTCAAGATGTTGAACATCATTTCCATAACGTTATCACTGACCTGACATAAGTAAGAATGATTCATTTAGAGCTTCCTCTTTTAGTTTTGTCCAACATTTGTTTATGAACATGTGATTTACCAATTGGTGTTCTCCAATCTGAGGGTATTGCCCATTTTGTCAGGGCTCATTTTAATGATTCTTGAGGGGAACTTGTAAAGCATCATTAAATAGTTTTAAGTTTTAGTTTTAAGCTTTTCCACCCTTTAAGAATATCACGGTTGTTACTGTATATCAAAATAACACATTACTAATGGAGCGCCTTCTAAAACATGGGACATATTACATCTTCTATTGAAAAAAATAATAAACTGCTATTTATCAATTGTTATAGAGTCTCATTTGTCTCAGATTATTTCCACTTAACTGTTCTTCTTGTATGTTTGAAAAATATGCATTATCTTTGCCCTGTTTGTTGCAATATTCTCTTCTCTCATCCTTCCTGAAATCTCTGACAATTCTAATGTATTCTGATCAGCTATACCTGTAGCTTTATATACCATTTTTATATGTTTGAATGTGGGCCTTTTTGTACAATCTGAAGAGCACTCTCTTCACAATACATTTCCTACATGATCGCACCATACAGTAACTACTGTATACAGTATGCACACATCCCTGCAGTACATGGTCTATTGCTTGCTATCTACAGTATGAGCCCTTAGATTTTAACCCATGTAGAATCTCAACAACACCCTATTGTCACAATTCTATAGCTTTCCATTTTTTTGTACACACTGTAGGCATATACCAACTTCTCCAATGTTGCATGTCTATATTAAAAAACGATTACATTTATTCTGTATTTAAATCTTTAACCATCCCTAAGCCATATTTAATTTTCAGTTTATTCTCATCATGTCATAACCACATGTTAAGCCAGTAGCCTTGTTTTTATTTCTTATTCTTCTTCATTGAGATGGAAACCATCCATCAAAATGGATGAATTGGCTGGTTTATGTTTGCTTTTTTTCCTGTGTTGCCTTGTGCCCTCCTGATATCCCACCAGAACTGGCTGCTGTGAGCTTCCTCACCTTCTCAGTTCTCTAGTTTAAATATGCTTGCTTATTCCACACAAACATTTTCCCAATACATCATTGTCCTTATTGAGGTACTGTATAACACCTGGCTCTTCCTGTTTGTTCGAGAGGAACCTTCATTGCCTTTTAAACATAAACCCTTCTTCTCTACTTTTACTGTACCTGTATATTTCCTGCTGCTACGCATGGCACCAGTGGAGACGTCTACACCTGGATGTGTCCAACAGACATCACACAAAGTTCACTACAGATGTTCTGCTAGATTAATTCTAAGCTTTCTAAGCTAAATAATTAAATTTCTCTACCTATAACAATATATCTATGGATCAAGTACACATTTACCTTTAAATAATGCTGACACAACAATCTTGATGCCAATATCATTGAAATAATAGATGCTATTCCATGATAGTTAAAGCTGTGTTGCATTTTTATTGCCCTACAGGGAAGGTTTTTGTACTGACTACTGTGAACCAGCACTGCCTTGCTGTATAGGAACTAAAGTTTAACCTACTGTACATACCTGAATACCCAACCAAGCAGACATCCATTTTATTTAATGTTCAGGTTGTCTCAATTTCTTGTAACATTAAAATTTTAGTCACACCTGTTGGAAGATAGTGTGGGGGCGTCATAGAGACCAGCCACTGTACAGTACATTACTGACAGGAAAATTAAAAATTAGGAGACTTTGATTTCTAAGGTCTTTTTTTCAAGAGAGTGCATATATACACTTTGAATAATATTACTTAATTATTAATGTTTTAATATGTATTCATCATTTGGTATCACTTTAGCTTAGGTGCTGCAGATTCTGTTTCAATTCTTTACAACCCATAACAGATTAACCAGATGGAACTGTCACCCATTGAGATGGTTTTCAGAGTTTTATTATAACTGTCTTACAGGATATACTGTATGAATTATCATTTGCATTTCTAAAATGTTACCTTCCAGTTTGTTATTTTGCCTCTGCAGATATGGTCAGTGAATGTTTAATGTTACTTTAATATTACTGGTCAAGGACTGAGCAACTGATGAGTGGCAAGGCCCTTTAGGTGCAGCCTTATCTCTTTTTAGAGGAAGGACCCAGAGCAGGAAAAGCTATGGCTATGTGTGAACCTCCAGGCCCCTGGCAGAATATGGGAGACTTTTTTTACCTGAAGATGAAGATGAAAAGCATGAGCAGCATGCAGAACGTGGCAACGTTGTCCATGGTCTTCATCAGGACCACAAGCTGCCTCTGCAGGGCTGGCATGAAACGCACCAGCTTCAGAACCCTCATGAGCCGGAAGGTCCTCAGCACAGACAGACCGCCTCCCTGCTGGCCAACAATCTCCCACACACTGCCAGGACAAAAGAGGCATGGATCCACTCTTTACACACACTAGACCTCTGTAACAGGGCACTGCACACTGCACTTGTATTCATAAGTGCTACACATAGCCTGTCTTGAAAAAGCATGATGTATTTACATTAATGTTATACCTTTCACCCATCTCTTTTAGTAGCTCTTTGGCTCACTGTGCCCAGCACAGGTGATTTGGGTGGCCACAGCATCATTTCTGAACTGTGGTTAGCTCAGTCTGTCAGGTCATATCTTATCTTTAACCAGATTTGCTCAAAGAGATAATAAAACAGACAACACCATAGGTTTAATGTAAAGCTACAGTACTCAGAGATCAAACAACTTCCCCACAGTACATCTCTATTAGAGCACTTATCTTTTTAGATTGGCCTGTATGTATGAAAAGAAAGTTTAATATCAAGTAGAACAAAATATGGATATGTGAAAAGCTCTTTCAATTAAGTATTTATTTTTAGTCTTCCAATAAATGCATAAACATTTCTTACAGGAGGATGTAAATTGCACTACAGTCCCAGCAATAAAGCCCCTGTATCTATAACCCATTCAGCCAGGGGTGCTTAGTTATACAATTGATAACTGTCTTGTATGGTATGTGCAGTTATAGCTTTTTTCTTCTCAGCTTATTTACCATATTAACTAATTGTTTAAACAAAAATAAATCCCATTTCACTTTTAATCTGATTTGCAGGAGATTACATTTTAAAATATAACTGCATATTAATTGTCTTTTGTTTGTACTGTACCTCTGTGAAGTAAATTATACTGTATATGTAATGAAGTTGGTCAAATCAATCAGCTAAAAAGCCAATAAGAATTATTTCTTTGGTTTATAAAATGGACTCTAGGAAATGTTGCTCATGTGTAAACTCACCTGATGACCACAATAATGCCATCAAAGATGTTGTAGGGGTTCTTAATGTAACCAAAGGGTCCGTAGACAAGTACTTTGAGGAGCATCTCAAGAGCAAAAAGACTAGTGAAGACAATGTTGCTGATCTCCAAAGCATTGGTCAATTCATCCGGCTGGGAAAGAAAGAGAAAACACAAGAAATGGATGGTAGAAGATGAGAGTAGGGATAGCCGAAAAAGATGTCTATTTAGAGTGTAGCAAAATATATAATTCACAGGTGTTTACACCTCCTGTTGCCTGCATAACTACGGTGTATTTTTTAAAGTAATTATGAAATATTGTACTTTATATGCTTGAATACACTATTGCAACATTATTGCATAAGAACATGAATGGTGGACATAAAGAAGAGGAGACAATTCAGCCCCCATCCATTTTGTTTGGCTTGAATTTTTTGAAAGGCAAATCTAAAGGAATTACAAGGACATTAACAATATATGTGGAATGATGAGCATGATAAACGGGGGGAAAAAATCCAGTAATGATATTATAACAAATCAGTGCTGAAAACTGTCCATGTGACTGATTCATATAAACCATTAAGGTCAGATAAATCCTAAATCAGATCTACATAAAAAAAATAGTGCAAAAGGCCTATATGATGATTTGATTGACATGAACACCCCTTGCACAGCAAATTTGAGTTCCTTCCATCAGGGCGTCCATTTACTGCAGATGACTTAGTTTTAAGGGCAGAAGAACTAAGTTATTCCTTATTCCCACAGCTATTAACCTGCTTAATATGGACAATGTAATATTTATTTTATCATTGATTGCAGGTTTACCATTATGTTTATACTGGTTTTTTTATCGTACTGTACATGTACAGTATGTTTCTTATTTGTCGATAAGTTCATGTAGTGTTAAACATATTGTGTACTGTATATTGTGTTATATATTTTACAATTGTTATATTGGTGTTATACTGTATATGTGTAATATCTTTTGCACAATATTTTCAATACCCATATCTTCTCCCTGTGTATTCCTGTGGTTGATTTCATGTGTTATTCTAATCTCTAAGCTTCACTGTGTTATCACCACTATCAGTACTACGCGGTAATATACTGTACAGTATTTGACCATGGTAAATGTTAATGAGACACTTCTTTCTACCAGTTATGAATGATGCAAAAAAACATTGTACCGTTTTCAAGTAAAATTTTCTTTGAAACAAACTTTTTCTTAAACCTAACATCAAAACGGAAAACAACTTCCACTCAAAGGTCTCCAGTCTCTAAATGACCTCTGACTGTCACTTAATGAAAGCAGCCACAGCAGGAAAGCTAAAGAACCTGCTTAGGCTTTTATTTTTAGCCTTTCTGATACAGTGAAATGGCTGTTGTCATCTAGAAACTCAACATACAGTACAGTACAGTCCTGCCCAGCTATCTGTGGTAACGCAGCACTTAATTTGCATTTTTTAGAAACAATATCTGACTTCATTTTTAATTTCTGGTCCAATACATCTACTGCATATTTTGTACATCAAAACAGAGAGAGACCGACTTAGTAACCATAGCCCGGCAATAGAAACTGAGCACCAGAGGCAGATCTGGCTGCCCAGATAGGACAAGCTGTGCCCCACTGCCAGCAGAGAAAAGCAGAGACAGAGATGCACTTTCTGCTGCACTGCTAGAAATACTCTGGGATCAGACAAACATTCTTGCCTAAAATCACAAATCAAATCCCAGAGGTTCTACACCTGCCAGAGCCATAACATCGTCCAGTCCTACTGGGGGAGGGGGGAGGAATCTCAGTAGAGCTGGCAGCCCAATATGTGATCTCCTGTCACAGACAAGAGAAACAGAGAGTGAGCCTGTCTCACAACAGAGTTTTATGTGATGTATATAAATGTACAATGATTTATACTGTAAATGTCTGTAAATGTTATGTTATTGTATGTGCTTTGCCAACACTGTAATTCATTGGTGATGCCAATAAAGCTCTTTGAATTTGAATTTGATAGATTAAGACACTTGGCTTTCATTTGAGAAGAATGAAAAGTTGCTTTTAGCAGAATGTTCTTGAAATAGATAAACAGAGATAAGCCGAAGGGAATCTTTAGGGAAGAGAACATGATGCTGTCTCTGCTCTTATCGTAGCTCTGGAACTAGCTGACACAATGTTAAATAGAAATCCTTTTATTATTTTTATTTCAGCACTGCTATGAACTGAGAGGTTTCTGGTTTTCAACTCATAAAGCACTGCATTAAGTTCAACAGAACGATTGCTTAATTGTGCAACTTAGTAATGTACATAGCAGACAGTACTTTTAAACCAGAAACACACAAACGTGAATAGATCTTCCTACATTTCTTTAATTATTTTGTTTAGAAAATTACATTTGTGGGGAATTAGTACTGCAAAAAGCATTGACATTACATATTTACACATATGAACATGCCTTGTAAATTTTGAAGAGAATTTTATTTTACATAACAGATTAAAACATTGACTATTTGTGAACATGTAAACCAAAAATCAACATCTACAGTGCAACATTAAATACTCTACTATTTGCTTACTACCAGACTGACTGCACTGATGTGTTTTTTGCACTCTGCTTGCATTGAGGTTTGTTTAGGCTGAATCTAACTTTGTTGCTGCCATGGTTGTATGTTTAAGTTGGTGTTTCTTTGATGTCTTTGCATTGGAGCATACATGCAAATGTAAGCATTTCGTTGCACTTGTGCATATAACAAATAAACTGAACTCTTAATTCTGAACTTAAAATATGATATGCTATACAGTATGATAGTTGACTTGATAACTATTAAAGGCCTTAACTGGACTAGACTCTGCTGCACACAAACAAGCTCCATCCCTTATATGGAATCTTTGATGGCATTAGTAGTTAAAAAGGAAATCTTCAGAGCTGTCAATCAACATCTGGCTTCACAATGCAGAGCTGCATGGATGCCACAGCAGGAGGTGCTGGCTGATTGGTAAACAGCTGTGTGAAACACTTGTGTAAGGTGGTCAATCAGTGAACTCAGGAGCTCTTTTCCTTTTTTTCTCATCAGCCCACTTTCTTTTACAATAGGCCAATGGATTTCAATTAAACGCCTAAGTAATATATTCACTCCTGATCATATGGAGATGTGTCTAAAATAATTCATATTTTAAGATATTATTCTGGACTTGTTTTACGATAATGACAAAATAATCCACCCACAAATTTTCCTTTTCAACATTTCATTGAGAGTTTTCCATAGCAGGAATCCCCATCCCCCTTCCTAGATAGCTTCAATCCAGATAATTTTAGATATGGTAATTAAATGAATTTCTAAAGACCTGATGTAATTGAATTTTTAATTTAGAGATCATTTAAAAATCGTAATACTCTTCTGCAATCAAGGATCACAGTTCCGTTAATTAACTAAACCAACTGATACTTGCTCATTTTTCTTTTACGTTTAATTGCTTAATAGTGTAGAAGTGTTCTTAATCATTCACAAGTCTGGTGATTTAGGCCTATAGACTGAATTGTGGCTATCCCGGAGCATGGTTGGAGACTCCCGCCCTATAGTTTAGCACACTTGTATGTTTTGCTTCAACCCAAGATTCCTACACATACTGCACAAATGGTTAAGAATGTGAGGCCATTTAATCTATTGTGAGGCCATGCGGTAGTTTGTAGCTGTTCATCCAAGAATTTCATTGAACCATTGCTTAAAAGAAGCCTACAGTGGGTATCAGCTTCAATAACATACAGTAGATCACCCACTCTTTGAGTAAAGAACTGCCCTCTGTGTTCTTGTTTAAATGTTCTCCCATGTGCCTTCTTTTTTGTGTTTCAATGCTCATTCGGAATAAATCTGATGGATTGATTTTGGAAATGCCTTTGAGGATTGTAAATATTTGAATCATATCCCATTTTAGACTTTACTGTCCAAGACTGTAAAGTTGTAGTTCCTTCCATTTTAATCAGTGAAACAAATTCATGTAAGTCGTGGAATATACAGTATCTGGTTGTTCTTACATAGACTTATTCCAAAGCCTCAATATATTTTCTAAATTGTGGTGATCAAAATTGTACTCAATTTTGATCACCACAATTTAGAAATTATATAGTACAATATTCTAAATAAGGTCTTATTTAGGTCTTACATGCACATCATTTTAACACAACATAACATTCCTCATGTCAAATTCTGTGCTTTTATTAATAAAATATTTGTCCTATTAGATGCAATTCAGGTGTCTCAAACATTTGCTATGGCTTGCCATATTTAATTTAAATGTAATACAAGCAAGCTATAAATACGATAGATAACTCAATTACCAGGTGCATTTTTGGTGTTTATAACAAAATACATCACTGTAAGCAGTAGACTTTGCATCTTCACTGGATGATAATTCAGAAAAACTTACTCATTACCATCTGAGTATAGGTTTCTTAGCATTGTTAACAATAATTATTTAAAATAGTATAGGTGATTATTATACACAACACACATTTCTGTTCTTTTTGAAAAGTTTGTCATGGCATCTCATTCAATTACTGGCAAAATAAATGAGGAACTATTGAGAGAACATCCCCTCTTTGGTATATGAACTCTTAATTTATACAATCTTTTGCTACAGTGAATCACATTTTAATACCTGTCTTTTTTATACAAAGCCATATTGTGCTACAATGAATGTGCTTCCAAACTGGATGGAACAATAAGAAAATGGATGGATGAAGGTGCTTTCCTTTGAGATTGCTCCAGATTATATATTTTTTTAATTGAACATTCCTTATTTTTAACATCATGTTGACAAAAAGGTTTTGTTTGCTTTAAGGTGCTACAAAGCGAAGAAAATTAGGACAGTATTTCCCCTTGCAGTAAGATTTTAAGTAAGAGAAGGGACAGAAGGGATTGAAAATGTTGAGCTTTTGAAAGACATTTGCAATCTTGTTACTTCAACAGACTAATTAGCAATTATTATTTAACAATTCATAATGTTTAAGATTACTGTCTTTATATCTTAAGATATTAACTAAGAGAGATACTGGGTGATTTTATTTAGGAAAAAAAAGATATACCCTTAAAGTAATAAGAATTTAATTTAAATTATGCAAATTTCCATAGCAACTTTCTCCAAAGGGACATTGGAAACAGGT